AAACAAAAAAGAATTTGGATTATTTTTAATAGTGGAGTCCTACAACCCTAATAAAACTTTCTATATACTTCTTTTTTTGTTTATTCTAATTTTTTTTAAAAAGTACTTTAAACTGTATAAATAATGTAAAACTAAATTGATTTAAACTGCCAATCATACGAATGTCTGCCTATGACATGAGACTATTAAATTACTGTAGATTAAAAAAAAAAAAAATCCGACCGACTAACTGGGGATTGACAACGACTACAATGACCACAAGACAAGGCACTCAGTTTATACATTACTGTATAATTAAGAGTTTCTAAATAAAGTAGGCAATTTATGCAACTATCCCTTTTTGATCGTTGCCCCTTTTGCTTTTATTAGATAATCGGTTGGGTATATTTTTACCCGGTTACACATTATTAAATTTATGTTACATATCAAATAAGATTCTTTGGCGAATTTGAATTGTAATAAGTTTGATAGTTATATTAAAAATCGACCTACGTTATTCTTCAAATGATGAAAATCAAAGAATGACTCAAGTCGATTAATAATCGACAAAGTTCATGAACAATACAATATCATGAAGTTTACTGCATCTGACTTATTGTCTAATCAATTATAAGAATTTGTGAATGCATAAAATGCATAACAGATAATAACCGTATGTACGTACGTATACTTGTGGTAATATGTATGCATTTATTGCATGATAATGGTAAAAGTTTTAAAAACATAAATTGTTCCTAAAAATAGAACTATACTTGAGGATTGACTAATATCAAGTAATTTATTAAAATAAATAAGAATAATTAAACTTGCAAATCTGATTATGAATCATTGCCATATTTATTAAGCACTAATTCATATTAATGGTCAGAACGGTGCCAAATCTATTGAAGTCGTCATACAATACCTTAAATTTTTTTTTTTTGACAATTACGTTTCGAATTCTATAAAAGTTTTTCCCGTAGTGATACGAAAATAAACAAAAATTAAAATATATATACACAAGTAATTCTGAAAATCTTATAGGTCCCAATAATAAGATTCTATAATAGGGTGATGTGCAGGTTTCTGATTTCTTTTGAAATAAGTGATTTATAAATTCTATTTTTTTTATATGAAAATAATCTCAAAACAGAAATGTAAATTTTTAAACTCCCATTTATTTTAGAAATAAGTTAATTCTAAACCACCCTAATACTGTATATAGCTTGAATTTATAAAATTTTGAAGATGCAATAATACACTTTATTGGATGCTTCGCATCCAATAACTATATATTATTAGGTTATTTTTTAGCATCCATTTTATTGTAATGAAGGCTTATATATATATATATATATAACTATTTCGATTTGCATCAGGAAGTTTTTTAAAGGTTTATAAACTTGTTCAGTAAAACTCTACATACCCTGCATTGTACAACGATTTTTATTAAGAAAAAACCCAATTCAGCAAAATTGCAATTTTGTTGATAAAGTCATTGTACAGTGCAGGGTATGTAGAATTTTACTGAACAAGTTTATAGCCTTTAAAAAACTTCCTGATGCGTACGTACATACGTACGTACGAATTATTTTTTGCCATCTTCCCTTAAAATTAAGAAAGGGTCTTCATTACCTTAATAAGAAATCAATTTATGTTGCTCTTTCAGAAAGATTGTCGTTATATTTGATTAATAAAAATCCTTTTTTTTACGTAATATTAATAAGGTTCGGACTTGACCGAAATGTGATAAAAAGGAATTTTTTTTCTAATTCAAAATTATCTTTGAACTATCTTTACTTTTAAAAAAAGAAAGTTCATAAGCTTTTAAACATTAAATTAATTTGTTTACTGCGTGCCAATGTTAATCAGTTATGCTCTAGTAAAATTTGTCTTACATTTTAATCTTGCTTACGCTTGAGCCAACATCACATGTCCTAATTAGATATTAATGCGCCCATCAACTATCGGAAATGACAAATTTGTAAATTCACGCAACATTATGTAACATGAACCTTAATTTCATCCGGTTAATTTCTAGCCGCGTGAGAATAAAGCCATGTTCTTACGTAAATATTATATAAGTCATTCGCCATGACTCCCATGTACAATATTTCGAAATAAGAAAGTTTTTTACTTAATAATAGCTCAGTGCTATTACATATCAGATATTGGTATGAACGTACATACGTACGTACGTACGTACGTGTGGTATGTTCCAAAGTTTAACTAATTTTGCTATTGTAACACCTTTCTGTGGTTTCTATTGGTCACAGTAGTTGTATTTAATTTGAACATGTGATATGTCTGAGACCAATAAGAACTGCAGAAAAAATGTAGGAAAAATTAGTCAACAAATTAATTAACCAAATTAACATATCTAAGATTTGATCCTAAAATTAACGAATTTTAATGCAGTTTGTACACACGGACGTGCGTATGTACATAAAAAACAAACCCCACACGTATAACAATTAAATGTATAAAAAGTCAGTTGAAATTTTGAACGCAAAAAACTTAAAAAAGTTTTATAATTTTTTTCCTCAAATAATTAGCACATGTATGCAAATTTTTGTTAAAACAAGTTTAATCCTTAATTTTTATTTACTTTTATTTGATAGCAGTTGATTTTTTAGTTTATACTACATGTCACTATCCTTGACCTGCAGAAGCGATGACATCAAAAATGAAGAGCCAAATTTTGTTGACATTGTTTACAATTTTGACTGGTCATCGACTTTACTTGGCCCTATGGACTCATGGGAGCCTGCACTTAAAACCGCTACGGTAATTTACGGATAAAAAAATATATACGCCGTAAAAGTCTGACTTGTGTACTCTCACTAGTTTCGAAAGTAAGACGGTAATTTATACCTGTATGTCTAATGATATTTGCTATATGTATCATACCGGTAATAAAACATGTGTCTCTATACGGTATATCCCTCCTGCACAAGTATGCCGAGTACAGATATGAGTTAGGGATATACCCCAGATACACAGGTCAGATTCTTATGGTACATTCTTTAAATTTTTAAGTATAATTCATAACCGTTAAAAGTCACGTTTGTTAGAATTTGTGTCTCAAATCTGCATTTCCTTCATGTTTACATATCGGTCCTTCCGATTGGATCCTACTCTATAACAAAGGTAAAGTATTTTTAGGGTTTGTTTATTTGTATTTTATTTAATTAGATTTTTAATCCACTCAATTTTTAGCATTTCTACCAATATTAAAAGCGAAACATCCTTACGGTAATTATATAATTTCATATTACTCGAATACACCGTTGGATCCGAAAATTTTATCTTATCGCATAGAGTAACAGTACCGTCTTTAAATACGTTATTCTTGAATAAAACCCGGATATTATATATACTGTATAGGAATGGCAAAAAAAATAAAACCATTTTTATTGATCTAAATTGGGTGACGTCTATAATCCATGCAAAGTATAAGCATATTAATAAATCATAAATTTCAATCAATAAAATTATTTCTTTGCATAACTATACAGTAACCATATAGTAACCAACGTTATTTATATCAAACTTTGTCAACCTAACGTCGTTATTAATATTAATAGCATTAGGAAAACCGTCTATAGTAGTTTGGCCTGAAGTACTTGATTTAATTTCACAATTTGAATAGTAAGTTGAATAATTTAAAAAAATTATTTTGTAATTTTTACTAATATATTAATATATGGATGTAGTGTAAGGACAACAGGAAAAGGCTTATTTAGAAAGGATAGATATATTGAACTAACACGTGATGGATATTCAGAAGAGTCATATTTTGATTATACTTTTAGTCCTGTTTTGAGACCAGATGGAACAGTCTGTGCTATATATACTCTAACACAAGAAACTACTCGAAGAATTTTGAATGCTCGAAGATTAAAAATACTTAGCGAATTTGGACATAGGATTTCTGGTTAGTACCTATAATTATAATGTGTGCTTATTGTGTTGAGTGTTTACAGTATCAGTATCAGTTAACGAATTTATATTTTCATTATTTTTTAAAGAGATTGAATCTTTAGAAAATGCCTGCCGTCTTTTGACTAAAGTATTAAATAATAATGTAGATATACCTTATGCATTAATATACTTTGTAGATCATAAATCAAATTCTGGTTCTGAATCTCTGATCGCTCGTTTGATCGCTACAACCTTTGATGAAGATGGTAAAAAAGGAAGGAATATTCCTGATAATTTACCGGATACTCCTGAAATAATTTACTTATTTGAAGATTCTGTTCAGAGCCATAACACATATATAGAACTAAAAAGAGATGCTGCAACTTATTCTTTCTTAAAATGTGAATCTTGGCCAATACATCTTGTAATAAAGGAAGGGAAGCATGTAAAAGTTCTTTTAAATGATGATTCCCAGGCTGTACTTTTACCAACAAAGATTTCACTTTACGGTGACCAATATTTATCTGCTGTATTAATTTGTGGCATCAATCGACTTCGTACACTTGATGAACAGTACATGGAATTTTTGCAAGTATGCAAAAAAAAAAAAAAATTCACATACTATCATTTCATTGACTTAATTATGCTAGTAGAATATACTTAAATATTTACAATTTGTTAGTTAGTCACAGATCAAATGAATACATATTTACTACATGGGAAGACAATTGAAGAAGAAAAGAAGCGATCTAAAATATTGGCTGATTTAAATTATCAAAAAGTTACATTTTTTCAGGGCATTAGTCATGAACTAAAAAGTATTGTTTTCATAGCTTGATAATAAATATTTCTAGAAAATGTTTGCACAAATATATTTAACCATATTTTTTATCGTAAAAGCACCATTAACCTTAATGCTCTCACCACTTGACGATGTAATAAATCTATGTCCACAAAAGGCACCAATGATGTCATATCTTCAAACTATACGACGTAACGCTCGCAGATTGCTTAAACTTATCAATATTTTATTACAAGTAAGTTATACATATATTGTAGCTTTAATAATAGTGAATACAATAGTTCAAAAGGAGGAAAGACTAACTATATCTATATTAACTATTGAATATATACTACTTACTAAGTTTTCTAATATAGAGGCTAATCAATTAGAAGCGCATTTTCGTGAAACAAATATAGCTGAATTCACTCGAGAATTAGTTTCTGACTTTAAAAATATGGCTAAAACATTAGGCTTGGATTATAATATCGATATTCCACATCCAGATGAATTTAGTCAATCAATGAACGATAAGATTTATTTGGATCAAGATATGTATGAAACAATTGTATTTAATCTTTGTAAGCGTTTCTAAAAAGAAAAAAAAATGTGTTAAAAAAATTTAAAATATTACAGTATACTTTTTTTTACATTAAACGCGCATACTAAGATATTTTGTTTGTTAAAGGTTCTAATGCACTAAAGCATACTTGGAATGGCTGCGTAACCATCCGTTTACATTTTGACTACAAAGACAATAACAGGATGGTAGTTCTCGAAGTTTCAGATACAGGTTAATAATATTCATTATATAACTTTATGTTTAAAGATGTATAGTCTTAAATCTGGATTTAATATATTATTATATCCGGATTGTATATTTTAAATCTAGGTGTTGGTATTCCGGAAGCTGCCCTTCCAAATATATTCCAACGCTTTTATCGTGTAGAATCTCAAGGTTCACGTAGTCATGAAGGTACTGGAATAGGACTTGCTCTCGTAAAAGAACTTGTTGCATGTCATGGTGGAAATATCACCGTAAATTCAAAAGTAAATCATGGAACAACGTTTAAATGTTGGTTTCCAATAGGATGTGAACACTTATCAACGGATCAAATAAATCTTAATAATGTCGAAGATCCAATAGATAATTCTCGAGAATTATATACTAAACGACAGCTTTATTTAGAAGAAAGCTCACATTGGATAAAAAATAGTAATTCTGAAACTCAACATGAAATATTGAATAAAGCACTAATTAATGATCGAAATATAAATCATGATGATAATAATAAAATGTTAACAGAAGATGATGATAATGAAAAATATCAGGTCTTAATTGTTGATGATAATAATAACATGAGGTAAACTTAATATTCAATCAAATAAGATATTTTATATAATGTTTCTTATCATTCAATCATTGATCATGTCATGTATGTTTATAGAGATTATCTGGCTGATCTGTTAAAAGAATTTGATATACTTCGTGCTTGTGATGGCCAAGATGCTTTACGAGTTTTAAAAAAGCTTAAAAAATTACCTGATTTAATTCTTAGCGGCAAGTAATTATAATCACAATATTAGATAAATTATAATACACAAGATTATTAAATCATATTTGAATTTAATAGATATCAAGATGCCGAATATGAATGGTTATGAGTTATTGGATGTATTAAGAACTAATATAAAAACCCAATTAATTCCCGTAATATTATTATCCGCAAAAGCTGGCGAAGATTCCAAAATTAAAGGTTTTTTTTTTTTAAACCATTAATTTATTTATTGTTTATTCTATTTTCATAATCTTTTTTTGCATATACTTTTAGGTCTTGACAAAGGAGCAGATGATTACTTAATAAAACCATTTTCTGCTCGAGAATTAATTACTCGTATTCGCACTAATATTAAGCTTTCACTATTTCGTCGTAAAATATTCTTTCAACAATATAAACAAGAAGAAACAAAACAATTACTACTTTCAATATCTAGTAAGATTTTTTCCAAATCAAATCTAGATGAAACGTTGTTATATATTGTTAAAGAAATTCATCATATATTACCATGTGAAAGAATTTTTATTATTTCAAATGATCGATCTGAATCAAAAAATAATAAAATTGTCATTTCATATGAAAATTCTGAAAATATAACGCCAATAACTAATCCATTCATGGAAATTAGCGATAATAATAAAAATGAAACACAGACATTCATTAAGTCAAAAGAATATTTAAATAATGATTCAGGAATAGATATTTGTATGAATATATATTGTGATAAAGTTCTGAAAAATGTATCATTATTGTCTGCAGAATTAAGGTTGAATAATGATTTTTGGGGATGGATAAAAGTTCATAGATCTCCAAATTCTATTTGGTTCGATTCTGAAATAGAATTATTACAACAAATATCAAATCAAATAAGTTTAGCTATTACTTGTGCAAAATTATCTGAAGAGAATGCTGAAAAAGAAATTCAAATAAAAGCTGCTGAAATTGCAAATAAGACTAAGAGTCAAATATTAGCAAATACTTCCCATGGTACGTTATTACCGTTATTTACATTATTAAAATCATTACAGTATTAAAGTCTTCATAATACTAATTACAGTAAGTACATTCTTATCATTCTTATCATTCTTATCATAGAATTACGAACACCATTAGGTGCGATAGTGGGCATGCTTTCTTCCTTCGAAAGTACTGCCTTAACAGCTGATCAAAAGAATATGATTAATATCATGGCAAACGCATCTGATATCGTATTGTCCACAGTAAATGATATACTTGATGCAGCAAAACTAGAAGCACAAAAAATTACTCTAATAAATAGAACATTTGATTTATTAGAATTATTTGAGAGCATAATCGAGGAATATGGTAAAAAAGCCGGAGATAAAAAAATTGAGTTAATTATAAATTGTGATGTAGATCTGTTACCAAGATATGTTAAGAGTGATCCTGAAAGGTAATTGAGCAAACATATTTTATATTAAGAATGCAAAACTATAGGAATTTTTTTTTTCTTATTTTATCTCTTTTATTTGAATAGGCTAAAACAAGTTTTGTCTCATTTATTATCAAATTCGTAAATATTTTTTACATATTTCATTTTTTCATAACCTATTATAGTACAGTATAACATAATAATTTATTAACTTTTTTTAGAGTTAAATTTACCGATAAGGGTGAAATTTTACTAAACATTTCAATGCAATCTCACGAAATCGACGAAAGAGAAGATAATCCAACTTATAGTAAAATTGTTAATAATAGACATTTGTTGATCGAATTATATGATACAGGCATTGGGTAAATTAGTTTTTTTGATTATATATTTTCATTTCGTATATCTAAATACTGAAATATCCAAAAATTTATTTAATTTATTTAATAATACGTAGCATGGATCCAAAATATGTACAACATGCTTGGGAAAGCTTTTCACAAGGTGATATGTCAATGACCAAGAAGCAAGATGGTACAGGACTTGGTCTTTCAATTTGTAAAAGTCTAGTAGAAATTAATGGTGGAGAAATTAAAGTAGAAAGTCAGTTGGGAAAAGGAACTAAATTTTGGTTTACATGGAATGTCGAATTTTTATCAGTAACTTCCTCATTTATAGAAACACAATTTGATGATACAATAGGATATGCTATAAGACAAAAACGAATACTAATAATTCAACCAGTTGAAAATGTTAGAAATGCAATGCTGAAATATCTTAAAAGGATCGAAAAAGTTGACGCTTTTGATACTTTTGACAAATGCATTAAAGAAGCTAAAAAATATAAAGAATTGTTTGATAAATTTGCTTATGATATGGTATTTATTAACCTTCATGAAAATAATGAAGAGGAAGTCTTGAAAGCAGCATTAGATTTAAGAGGATTAGAAATGAATCGTAATAATTTAGTATTAATCTTTATAGTATTGCCAACTAATGAAGGAAATAAACTAGCGAAAAAATTAATTGCAAAAATTGGTGGAGCTACTTCCATTCTTTATACTCCAATTACTTTGAAAAAATTAGCTAATCAATTTATATATATAGAAAAAAACATTATTAACAATAATGATAAGAGTCGATATATAAATGAAAGCAGTAAATCAAGGCTTATAAAGCAAATAGCAGATTATAAACTTCATGAGACTGAAAATGCGGATCAAGATGCAGACGAATGTAATTCTAATGATTCTGAGAGTAGAACAATAAATATTATTAATAACAAGTGCAGTTTATCTGCGGTAAGTTTTATTTTAGTTAGATTAAACATATATATTTAAAATGCTAATCGGTTGATTATATCATTTATAGGATGATGATTCTCTGACTTTAGAGGTAATTATATATTTAAAATAAAATATAGACTTTAGCATTTATAATAATTTATGTTCTATTTTTATTTTCAGAACTCATTAACAAGCAAGTTTCAAAACTTGGCTATTCAAGAGCCAGTGCAAGACATAGTCAAAAAGCAATCAATTTAATTGCTTCTAGATTAAATGATTAAGCAATGCGTATTTATGTGTTTACCTAATTAAATATATACCACAAAAAATAA